CGTGTGTTGTTATCTCCAATTCACTACCATTTAGGGTATAAGTTGCTTGTGCATTCTTTACCCCGAAGTGCATAACTTTGCATTTTTCTACATTAAATGTCATCTGCCATTTGAGTGCCCAGTCCCCCAGTCTATCTAAATCCCTCTGCAGCAAAGTTATATCTTGATCACATTGTATTGCTTTACAGAGTTTTGTGTCATCATCAAACACTGACTTTCAATGCTTTTTAAAAGATGTTAAATAGAAGGGGTCCCAGAACAGAGTCCTCACGACCTCTGTCGCCACTTACCACCTCTGTCCAGTTAGAAAATGTATCATTAATGACAAGTCTCTGTACTCTATATTTAAGCCAATGTTCTACCCAAGAACAAAAACTTTCATCTACACTGATTTCTTTGAGTTTGAACACTAATCTATTGAGTGAAACTGTATCAAACGCCATGGCAAAATCCAAGTAGATCACATGCAGTGCAATACCCTGATCTATACTTCTACTTACTGCTTCATTGAATGCATTTAATTTAGTTTGACATGATCTATCTTTTATAAAGCCATGCCGATTTTTGCTGATAACCATGTTCTTCTCAATGAATTCTTGAATATTATCCCTTAATAACCTTTCGAATACTTTCCCAGCCAAAGTAAGTTAAGCTTTCCCAGCCAAAGTGAGTTAAGCTTACAGTTCTATATTTTTTGAATGTAGGAACCACATCTGCCAATCTTCCAGTACAATTTCTGAAAGAAAAGATTCTTGAAAGATTAAAAACAGAGGTTCCACACTTAGTTCCTTAAGTACTTGTGGATGAATACCACCAGGCCCTGGAGCTTTGTTTATATTAATAGTCTTTAGTTGCTGCAGTACCTTGTCTTGAGTCATCAAATTACAATTTTTCTGCAATTTTTTGCAGCAATCATTTGCATATCTATAGCCATAGGTTCTTTTTAAATATGTACTGAGGAGATATAGTTATTTACAATTTCTGCCTTGTCATTGCACATGTCACTGCTGTAATATCTGATCGGCTGCTTTATTTATCATTGCATCTTCAGGTAATCTTGACTTTTGGAAGTATACTGAAATCCTATCAGCCTCAGCAGCTGCTGTTTCAGTAGAACTAATGGTTGGTATGGAAGCATCAAACAAACGAGTGCAAAAAGCACATGGTTTGCAAGTAGACAAAGAAGAGGCTGATGGTGATTTAAAGAAAGGATACATATTTGAAGTTGATGTTTGTACTGTTTGTGGAGAAGAGTTGGTTGGCAAGATATAGTTGTACTTAAATTTTATCTTGCAGTTCTTGTCTCTTGCACTGATGTTGATATATAATCAAATTGTAGTTGATACTCTGTCCACTGCATTTACTGTTTTCAGATGCAGGAGGCAGTGTGATTGGTGAAAATCATGTCATCTGTGTGTGTGCTACGAGTCTGTAGAATCTAAATTCCCATGTCCATATCTCCTGGGAAACAGGCCCATGTTTTGAACTCAGGGATGGGGGCATTAGGACATTAGGGCCCCCCCCCCCCTTATTGATAGGGCCCCCACCCACCGCTCAGGGGTGGGGGCCAGGGGGGAGGACATTTAGGTCCCCCCCCTTATTCTAAATTTAGGGACCCCACCTGCCGCACAGGAGGGAGGACATTATTGATATTTTGGGCCCCCACCCACCGCTCATGTGTGGGGGCCGGATGATAGGTCCCCCCCCAATTCTTCTTTAGGCTCCCCACCCGCCGCTCATGGGGGCCCTAAATATCAATAGTGGGGACCTTTTGTCCTTCCCCTGGCCCCCACACCTGAGCGGCGGGTGGGGGCCCTAAAGTAAACTAATGGGGGGGACCTATTGTCCTCCCCCCAGCCCCCACCCATGAGCGGCCGGTGGGGGCCCTAAGTTAGAATTAGGGGGAGGACCTATTGTCCTTCCCCCTGGCCCCCACCCCTGAGCGGCGAGTGGGGGCCTTAAATATCAACTGAGGCTCCTGCTGAATCCAACTTAACACGGCAGAAATCACGAGGAGCGCGACCGCGGACTCCGAGATCGGGAGTTTTGGGGCCCCTGCGGTAGGAAACTTCGGAGCCTGCAGCCTACACGAGTGAGACGAGGGGAAGATGGCTGCTGCCCTGCTCGCAAGCCTGGGTGCCGTACCAAGGTCCTGTGACACGTCTCGCTGGCCCCGGTCCCCCACCCTATGGGCCGGGGGAGTTATCCCGTCCCCACTGGAGGGAACCGAATCTTAGCATTCTGCCCCCCACAGGGCACGCATGGGACTAGAGTACATGTACTCTGCCTGCAGCATGGCTGTCTCAAGGCCCACACCGGGCACGACCTAACTCACCTCTCACACTCGGCATTGCAGGCAGAGGCACATCACCTTCACCCTGCTCATGCAGAGCCCGGGGATGGCAGCGTGGCACCTACCGGACTCACCCTCACAGCTGGACTCTGCTTATTCTAAAATCTGGCTGGAGGCAGGAAAACCGCAAGCTCTGGAGTTCCAGGACGCCTGATAACTTACCACCCCCAGCTGCCCACCAGAGCTGGACGCGGGGGGCAGAGTGACTCTCCCAAGGAGTACCCAGGGGAGTTTATTAGCATGCTTTTTAGTTCCTCAGTTTTATTTTTACGTTTGACTCACTCAAAGCAATGCCTTCCCTATGATCTGCATATAATTTATTTAAACTATATCTCCTGAATTTAAATAGCTTAGATATGTGCCATATTTTCATACAATGATTACCTAATCGCTAGCTGACATACCAGAGAGATGCATGTTATATTATCCTGACAGTGGAATGCCCTGTCAATTACATGTTTTTCTCTGTGTTACACCGCAGCTATACATCTTAACTTGACTATATTTACAATATGCAAATACTCCGGCCAAGGTTTACCCTGCACAGACGTACGCCGATGCTGCGCACTAAGTCCCTTGCTACTATATTATATGTCAGCACATACGCCAGGTTTTCCTGTAATGATTGCTCACTCACTCAAGGAGTATCCTGCTTATGCATGCTATATTATGTTATACTAATTTCAAATGGTGCGGTACCACCTCAAGCGATGTTTTAACCTGCGTTAAACTACTGCTATACATTTAAACCTGTTGCTATCAGGAAAAAAAATGTGCGATTATTGATGCCACTGTCTAATCTGAATATACTTATGTACGCTGTTGTGGCATTTTGATGATGTTCTGAACCTACTTGCACAATAAAAATGATATTAAAAAAACTAAAAAACACAAAGCATGGTACAATCATAGCCACATGGTGGCAGCAAACCTAAAACCTGTATTCTTCTAAACATATTTCACTTTACAATACATGGGTGATTACTACTATAATTATAATTGGTATATATAAAGTGTCATCTTATTCCACAACGCTGTTCATTCAGGGGGAAATATACAGTACAGACAAACCAATATAAAAGGACCCTGCTTGTGAGCTGAGATCTAGCATGTATAGCCCTTTAATGAAGAGTACTAAGCTAGATGGCTCTTGGAAGTTTAAGCATTCTTTTTGTCTACATCAAGCAGTGTCAACATCATAAAAGATTTTGGTATTTTCAGGATATGACAATGTCTATGCTAAAAACTGACAGTTGGTTTTTGGCGCTCTAAGTCTAACTAATGTTTCTGAATATGAAGGGAGCTGCCAGGTAAATGCATACTGCTCCACCTAGTGATATACTACGAGACTAGTAAGAAAACCCAATATGGTTTTACAAAGCTCCAATCTATCTATCTTTCTGTAAATATAATACACTTAGAAGAAAGTCTCCAAAAAATATATGCAAGAAGAGAGGTGTCTTCTGAACACAGACACTCAGATTTAGGCTTGATCACAATTTGGATTTTCCGCACAAAACTGGACTGTGCTAACTATGTGGTTTAGATTCACTGTGTTATGAGCTGATTCTGGACTGATTTTCCCAGAAATTGTTTGTTTTTTCGTTAGTGTGCCTCATAATTTTTCTATACTGTCACTGCTCTCATACGTCAATATTAAAATCATTGCATTGGCTTCCTGTGCCATTTAGGATTCAGTTTAAAATATTAGCTCTTACCTACATAGCTCATAACAACTGTATAACCACTATAGCTTTGTTTACTAAAACATAGGTACACCCCTTCTCAACCACTCCATTCTGCCAGTGGCCTTCTCGTGTCCACTGCTAACTTGTACCTGTCCTACTAACAGGGCCGGACTGGCCCACCGGGATACCGGGAAATTCCCCAGTGGGCCGGTGCTCCTGGGGCCGGCAGTGCAGCACATTACTCTTTTCCCTCCTCTGACTTGTTTGGGGCTGGAGCCTGGGGCAGAAAGTTTGCTGGGTGGCCGCAGTGAGGCTGCCAGAGGCCGGTAACAGAAACAGGTGACAGCTGGTTTGCAGCAGAGAGGAGTGAGAGAGCACTGAAAGTCTATCTTACTCCCTCACAAAAGCAGATATTTCCAGCAATGCATGGACAGTCTGCAGATCCAGCCCCTGCACTAGAGCTTCGCCCCCAGCCTCTCCCCGGTGACCATTCACACAGAAAGTGGAAGAGCTTCATGAAAAATACTCACACTGCACTCAAAGTCCAGGTACAGCAAAGTTACAGGTACTTATATATCCACTAAGCAGCCCATGATTGATAGTGTGTGTGTATAGAGCATGTTATGATCCAGTGTGTGTCAGTGAGTTTGTAGTGTGTGTGTGTATGTATGTATGTATCTATAGAGCTTGTAGTGAGCTTCTGTGTGTGAATTAATCCCTATGGAAAACACTGGCAGGTTTTTTCATTAAACTGAAAATTGACAGGAATTTACCACAGACTTTAAATTTAAAGGGACAGCACTGATACGCTCAGCTTATGACTCCAGTCATAGTTTGTTCTAGAGAACATGTGAACAATAATGTCAACAAATAGCTTATGTGTGTGTCAATGAGCTTGTAGTGAGCATGTCTACTGCGCTTGAGTGTGTGTCAGTTGAGCTCAGTGACATTGTGTATGTCAGTGAGCATGTAGTGAGCATGTCTGTAGTGAGGTTGTGTGTCAGAGAGCTTGTAGTGAGCTTATGTGTGTCAGTGAGCTTGTAGTGAGGATGTGTGTGTCAGTGAGTCTGTAGTGAGTTTGTGTGTGCTTTAGTGAGCTTGTAGTGAGCATGTCTGTAGTGAGCTTGTGTGTGTCAGTGAGTTTGTAGTGAGCTTGTGTGTGTCAGTGAGTTTGTAGTGAGCTTATGTGTGTGTCAGTGAGCTTGTAGTGAGCATGTCTGTACTGTGCTTGAGTGTGTGTCACTGAGCTTATAGTGAGCTTGTTTGTGTCAGTGTGCTTGTCTGTATTATGCTTTTGTGTGTTTTAGAGAGCTTGTCTATAGTGAGCTTGTGTGTGTGTCAGTGAGCATGTAGTGAGTTTGTTTGTAGTGAGCATGTCTGTAGTGAGCTTGTGTGTGTTAGTGAGTTTTTAGTGAGCTTATGTGTGTGTGAGCCTGTATGTGTCTGTGAGCATGTCTGTAGTGAGCTTATGTGTATGTGAGCCTGTGTGTGTCAGTGTGCTTGTAGTGAGCTTGTCTGTATTATGCTTTTGTGTGTTTTAGAGAGCTTGTCTATAGTGAGCTTGTGTGTGTCAGTGAGCATGTAGTGAGTTTGTTTGTAGTGAGCCTGTGTGTGTCAGTGAGTTTTTAGTGAGCTTATGTGTGTGTGAGCCTGTGTGTGTCAGTGAGCATGTCTGTAGTGAGCTTATGTGTGTGTCAGTGAGCGTGTAGTGAGCTTGTGTGTTTCAGTGCATTTGTAGTGAGCTTATGTGTGTGTTAGTAAGCTTGTAGTGAGCTTATGTGTGTGTGTGAGCCTGTGCGAGTGTCAGTGAGCATGTCTGTACTGTGCTTGAGTGTGTGTCAGCGAGCTTGTCTGTAGTGAGCTTGTGTGTATCAGTAAGCTTGTCTGTAGTGAGCTTGTGTATGAGTAAGAGAACTTGTGTGCGTTGTGGAGCTTGTCTGTCGTGAGCTTGTGTGTGTCAGCCTGGAGGGTGGGTATTACAGCACTGTAATACCCATGGATCATATGGAGTGAGGGACTGCGGGTAAGAAACAATATAACAGCTTCCAAAGCACATCGAGGCACGGTGAATTATAAGGCTGGAATCATTTTTTTTCCAGGGCTGCTGTCTGTTCCCAGTCCGGCCCTGCCTACTAACTTATTTTTACAGGCCTTCTCCTCTACTCTTCACTTAAAACCCATCTCTTCAGAATAGCCTATGGACTCCCAGGGTGACTGCCATTAATCTCTCCTTCAGTGGGTTTAAGTGGTCATAGTGCCCAGTACCTATGTTTGCAGCATTTTGCTGTGAGACACTGCACAAAGCTAGTTTAACCCCCTCTGTTGATAGAAGTGTAACTCCACCTCCAGTAGCATAATTGAGTCGTCAGTAGTCAACCAAACTAGAGTTCTGGACGGTCTAATGTCAATTCTGTGCATATTCCTATGCACAAACTTGCATTCATTGGCTGAGATGATGGACAGATACCATGATGATGCACATACCAGTTAACAACAAATAGATAGAATTAAAATAGATACTTGTGACGAGAGCAATCTCGCCACATTGCATTGGAGAAGCCTGGTTGCTCGCCTGCTACCTTTGGATTATGGCCCCATGTTAAAAGACTTTGTTTCCCCTGCAGAAAATACTTATTCGTGCTTTTCTGCCCGGTGTTCGGTAGATTCAATCTACTGAACAACCGCATGAATGACTAGACCACCTGGGAGCTGGAGTGTGCCGGCAATTAGCCTCCCAGAAGCTGCGGTTAACCTCAGCTTAATTGACGAATACTGGGTGGCCGCCATACGTATAACGAACACGAGGTCGCGGCCATTTTAAACACGCGAACGCACAGCGGTGTTCGACGCTTAATTCATGGAACTAAAAATGCACACAGTTTGGCGCGAACACCGCTGAAGCCGCCAACCTCCCTTCTTGTTCGGTGGAAGTACACGAATGGCCCCGCATTCGGTAGTTGTACCTGACTGCACTATACCCCAGATAGGAATCCCATGGAGCTCATTCGTATGAGAACTGACTTTTTAAAGACTTTTGCTCCATGGCGATTAAACTGTATTCGTGTGGTCTGAGCACCATTCGCTTAATAATGTGCGCTCAGACCTGAGCTATCTGGGGATATGTTAAATGTATAGTTTTATTGTAACTTGTGTCTTATAGTGTATTTTGATAGTAATTCTTATTTTAGTATCCCCACGTGCATAATGGCGATTTGCCTTTGTCCTGGGAGATAATTGAATTACTTCTCAATTATCTCCAGGGCAGAGGTGAGGAAGCCAGGATGCATTGTGGGAATATAATGTGACTGTGTGTCCTATTTTGCTGACTGTCTGTCTTTTGTCACAGTCTCCCATTTGGTCCCCCACCAGGTGGGAGACCTGCATAAATACTGGGCAGGTAGCCCGCATTAAACAGACCACTGCTTGACCCTCAACATGGAGCCTTGTCTTTGGGGGGATTTACTGAATGCTGATAGAGACTGATTGCTAGGAGTGTAAGCCGCTTGGATGCTTTTCCTATTCGTCTGCTAGCAGCTGTTCGTATGGTTCCAGTTCGTGAGTTTGGAGTGTTATATTGTATGCCGTTCAGGAGTTTGGAGCATTCCCTTACATGCGGTTCGTGAGTTTGGTGTTCTACAGTAGCTGTGCCTGCATCTCTGAAAGGGGACGATCGCCTAAACGGTTTTAACCCCTTGTGTGCGGAAACGGTCCGTTACAATACTTTTTAATAAATAATGTTGTATATGTTAGTTATAAACAGCTTATTCAATGCTCCTTTTTGGAAGACATCCCAATACGTTTAATGTTTCCTAGACAAACTGTGATTTTGATGCTTCTCCCAACATTGTCTATTATTATCCTAAGTATTTAAAGGACCACTCTAGGCACCCAGACCACTTCAGCTTAATGAAGTGGTCTGGGTGCCAGGTCCTTCTAGGGTTAACCCATTTTTTTTATAAATGGGTTAAGCCTTCCCCCTAATCCTCTAGTGGCTGTCTCATTGACAGCCACTAGAGGCGCTTGCGTGCTTCTCACTGTGATTTTCACAGTGAGAGCACGCAAGCGTCCATAGGAAAGCATTGTAAATACTTTCCTATGCGACGGGCTGAATGCGCGCGCAGCTCTTGCCGCGCGTGCGCATTCAGCCCAGGAGGAGGAACGGAGGAGGAGAGAAGGAGGAGAGCTCCCTGCCCAGCGCTGGAAAAAGGTAAGTTTTTAACCCTTTCCCCCTTCCAGAGCCGGGCGGGAGGGGGTCCCTGAGGGTGGGGGCACCCTCAGGGCACTATAGTGCCAGGAAAACGAGTATGTTTTCCTGGCACTATAGTGGTCCTTTAATATGGATAGGCTGGGGATAGTACCTCCTGAATATGTTCTGTCAGCAACATTCCATTATACCTCTTTAAAGGGATTATATAGTGTAAGGAATACAATGTTGTATTCATTACACTACTGTGTTCCCTCTGCATTTTGCCCTCTCTATAGGAAAGCATTGCTGCAATGCTGTTCTATAGGGAGATTTACTTACACTGGATGTCCTCATGCCGAGTTTGAGGACTCCACTGTCAGTTAGGCGACTAAAAGTAAGATCCCGGAAGTGCCCCTCGTGACCGTCTGATTAATGGCCACAAGAGGAAGTCCTAGTCCTGCAATACAATCATTGCAGTTTCTCTAAAACTGCAATGATATATTTTGCAGGACCAAGGGGGCAGGACCAAGAGTTAAAGTGGTCTGGGTGACTATAGTGTCCCTTTAATCTGGTTATTTTCCTTTAGCCTCACTTTTCCTCATCTTTACTGAAATATGCTTAAAGGGAAACTATAGTGCAAGTAAAACAGTTGTTAAAAACCCCTTTTGATCCTTACACAAGCCGGCAGAGGAGACCTAATGCACATGCGTGGCAATAGGGGAATCCCCCATAGGACAGCATATATAATGGAATGGAATGAGTGACATTGGACGTCCCCATGCATAGTGTAAAAACGCAAGTGACCAAAAGTCACATAACAATCCAGAAGTCCTTCTAGCGGCTGTCTGGTAGGCAGCCACTAGAGGTGGAGTTAACCATCAAAGGTAATTATTGCATTTTCTTAAAAACTGCAATAATTACCTTTGCATGGTTAAGTGACCTGGATCACTGCACCCAGATCACTTTAATGAGCTGAAGTGGTCTGGGTACCTATAGTGTCCCTTTAAAAAACAGACACAATTCTCCCCATCTCCCAAAAAAGGAAATTAGTATAAAATGTATTTTTCTTGTGTAAAAACATGATTTAAAAATGTAAATTCTGAAACCTATTTTACTTTTCATCTTCCAAAGCAGCTGAGTTAACACAAATAATATCCGGTGATCCTTGCAGGATTGCAAAATCTTATCTTTCTTAACCAAAATCAAACACAAGTGGTGTAGTAACTAATTGCTCAATATCCACATATGCTATTGAGTAACACTTGTGTAATAGTACACAACATTTATAACTCTGTATTCAATGTTCTTTTTTCTTCTTTTTATTATATGGTATTTAATGTTTAAAAGGGTGTTTGATTTTTAAACAAATGGTCTGTCATTGGAGTATATTATTATCCAGTGTTGCCCAGAACCGTGCATCAGATCACAATCCAAAATTCACTTACCATTTTACAGTCACTTTATTAAGTGATAATAAATAATTAAATATTCATTAATATTATGATATTAAGCTCAATCGGAAGGGAAAGGTTAATGACAAGAAAATCTAGCACCTTTACAGGTATTTTTATTACATCACAGGTTGAGGTTAATGCACTGATGATGCTAATAACTGACAGGTGTCCTATAATTTCCAAAAAATGACTTGAAAAGTGTTGTGCACATACGTATTATAATGTAGTTGCAGTATTATAATGTAGTTGCAGTAGCATGTAGAATACATGTTCTGATATCACTTCTCGTGGCTCTGTTGACAAAACTACGGAATGAGACAGATTCTTGATCCTGGGGGACCATTCCAATTACAGTACAGAGTATTCTACATGCTACTACAGTAGAGAGACGACTTATATGGCTCTCTAAAGTGTGAGTGCTCCTAATCATTTTTTATACCAGTTATTGGTTTATGCATATTGCCCTATGATAGCTGTCTATGTTACAGATTATCTTATCAAGCATCCATTGTGTGCGCAAAACCACCTAATACTATACTGTGATGCCTGAGGATTTTTGCTATTAGACTCTATTTGTAGACTGCGGATCCCTACCACGGTGTTCCAGTGTGCTGAACACAATCTTGGTTTTGTGCTGTTATTTGTCCTTTAATTCATTCATGACTAATCATGCTTTGTTGTTTACTCACGTCATGAGTCAGGAAAGGTGTTTGCGGTATTTGTTCTGGCTATGCACTAACATTTGACTTAAAAGTCAGGATAGAAAGCCAGGATAGTGGTTAATTATTAGATTAAACCAAAAGGACAAATAAAAAAATATGTTTTATTATGTATATACATGATGAAGGCTTCACAGTCGAAACGTTTTTTTTTTTCTTATGGTTTAACAAATCAGATTCTTCTTTTTGCATAATACTGTACTGTCACAAACAATAGGATAAGTGGCGCTAAACAGTAAATAGATA